AACACATGACAGGTTGCAAGAAATTGAAATGGGAGAAGTTGAATGGACATCAACACAGTAGCGTCGTTTCGACCGACACTATTGTAGACATAGTTCACATTGTTCCACGCTTCTCTAAACCACAATGGGGATAGAAGCAACATGCAAAACAGCGTGAGGACTGTTTTTATTTGAACAAGTACATATTGTAGAAGAAACAAATGCAAACTAAGTTTCTATGTTTGCTGAGAGAGAGAGAGAGAGAAAGAGAGAGAGAGAGAGAGAGAAAGAGAGAGAGAGAGAGAGTGTGTTTCTATCTGTCATCGCCACGAGACAGTCATGTTATTTCTTCCGAAGTATAGGGGAACAAGAGAGGACATTCGTCTCTTTCTTTCCGTTATTTGTTGAGAAATATCATGTCAAATGTGGCCAAGGTTATGAAGCGGTGAAAACCACATGCGAGACGAAAGTGTCCCCAAAAGTTCACTACTGCGTGACATTTACGTGGTTAACAGTGATAGTCGTTTCAGTTTTGGCACGCACTACCTCTCTCTCTCTCTCTCTCTCTCTCTCTCTCTCTCTCTCTCTCTCTCTCTCTCCCCGAAGTATCCTATAAAAACGATTTGAAGTTGTTAAAAAAATTAACAAATCGTCCGTGTCATTCCAATTTGACCGACACGTGTGAAAAGAAACAGAAACTTACAACGTCGCGCAGCGTTCGGGAAGGAGCGACACAGAACACTGAACAACAGGATGCAGGTAAGAGAAGCCGAGTGAGGATGACAGAGTCACAAAAAAGTAACACGTGTGGTGGCGGCGCGAAGTGCTCATATGTGGGTACAAAACCGGTCATCGGTCCAAGGATGGAAAATAAAGATGAACAACACCGTAGAGAGGTGGCAAGCGAACCGTTGTTGCCATTGACCAGTGAGAGGTCGACAAAAAGGTGACATAAAATGTTGAGGGACCCTTGGTACTCGGAAATGTACGATATAATGACCGAGGGTGAAGCAAAGTCTCCCCGGTTGATAATCGAAGCACTAAGGAAAAAGCAAAAGTCGGGGACATGACGAGAACGAGAGAAGAGCAGACTGACATTAATGATGACGACGAATTGACCGTTGGCTTGACCGTTGAGGTCGTCAAAGGACGATGCGAGAAAAGTTCACTACTGCGGGCATTTGTTACATAAGAACCGGTGGCTTCACCAGTTGATTGGCCCGAAGTAGCCAACCTTCTCGCGGTGATGGCCGGGGAAATGTTCAAAGTTTTTCTTTGCTCGCAATTTTTTTGTTATTGTGACTATGCGAACCCATGCCGCCTGACAATACGGATACAGTCATTCTGACGCACAAAGACATTGGTAACTTAAATGACGTCGCAGTATCAACAATAAGCTCTTGGTTGTGCCTCTCTCTCTCTCTCTCTCTCTCTCTCTCTCTTCCC